GCATTTGGAGATGATGGCATTGGGAAATGTCTATAGTAAGGGATTATGTGGTCTGGAATTTAAAAAATCAAATTCACTTCCAGGGACTTGAGTTTACTGACTTGGAAAAGTTTCAAACAGTGAGTCTTTGAGTTTGAAGTGTCTATGGTGTCACCATCTCTTTTGGACGTTACTGAAGAGCAGAGTGTACTATGGTGGTCTGGTAGTTTTATCGGGAGATCTTGGCTCAAATTGTGGAGGAGAGGATTTTGGTTAGCTATTAGGAGAACTTTGTGACAAGTAGATTTTGATCTTAAGTGGATTATACAAATTTTGTGATTTTTTTTGCCCTGGAAATTAAAGATGTAAACTTGTGATCTGGAATAATTAGTTGCAATCCTAAAGTTGACTTTGCGAAAATATTTTATTTAGATGTATTACAGAATTGCTTTAAATGACCCCTCTTGGCATCTTTCCAGCATAATCTAGTAACATTTTAATAATATTTTGAACTGAAATACAGTATAATTAATAGATAAGGAACTTTTCAGGATAAGTATTTCACAAAGTACAAATTCTGAAATTTATATCAATGTAGTGTGATATATTCCCTTGAAGCTTTGGGAAATTCTTACAAAATTGATGTAGAGCAATATTCTTTAATATCTATAATTAAAAAGAATATTATGATTAGGCTAAAATTAATTGGAGATAAAAAGGAAACATATAGCTATGGCAACAGTGATGTAATAAGAATAAGATTTTGTTTTCAACTTACACAGTGTTTTGGAAATAGGTCTTACATGAAGAAAGTAACAAAGTAAGTTTAGTAACTTTGTAAAACAACCACTTAGATTGTATTTTAAAGCAGTTGATTTACTTGATTTTTAGAAATTGGAGGTTTTTCTTGGTTTGAGGAGATCTGTTACAGACTTTTAGTTATAGTTATGAAATTTCCATAGACACCTTATAAAGTGTTTAAATTCTGGATATTTTTGGTCTAGACCTGACTCCAAACAAAATCAATATATGAAAACCTCAGACTTCCCCCCCTTCCTTCCCTCCCCTCAAAAAACAACTGGGTATAATTTTTTCCTCTCTAATAAGCACCCTTAATGTTTTCTTTTAAATAGAGATTTTCTAATGCATTTTAAGCCATTTGATTTTCCATGAATTTTACTAGAGCATCTGCTGCAAAAGGGCAGGGATTGTGGGTTTTTATTCCTATATCCTCAGTGTGTAACACTCAGAACATATTTCCTGACTTACTGCTTATGTATTCTTATGACACTCAGATTTCTTTGCTTGCCGAAACCTAGCCCCATGTATTCTTTTGCCTGCAGGTCATTTTTTTTTAATGACTTTATTTTTTAGAGCAATTTTAGATTCACAGGAAAATTGAGCAGAAGGTACAAAGATATACTGTGCCCTACTCATGCATAACCTCCCCCATTATCAACATCTTCCACCGGAGTGATACATTTGTTACAACTGATGTACCTACACTGACACATTATCACCCAAAGTCCATGTTTACGTTATGGTTCACTTTTGGTATTGTGTATTATGAGTTTTGACAAATGTATAATAATGTGTATCCACAATCGTAGTATCACACAGAATAGTTTCACTGCCTTAAATATCCTCTGTCATCTACCTATTCATCCCTTCCTCCTCCCTAACCTCTTTTTACCGTCTCCATAGTTTTGTCCTTTACAGGGTGTTACATAATCGAAATCATACAGTATGTACCCTTTTCACATTGGTGTCTTTCGTTTAGTCATATGCATTTGTTTCCTCCATGTCTTTTCATAGCTTGATAGCTCAGTTCTTTTTAGCACTGAGTATTATTCCATTCTCTGGATGTGTAAGTTTATTTATCTACTCACCTACCAAGGGACATCTTGGTTGCTGCCACGTTTGGGCAATTATGAATAAAGCTGCTGTAAACATCTGTGTACAGGTTTTTGTGTGGACATAAGGTTTCAGCTCCTTTGAATGATAGCTGGATCTTATGGTAAGAATATGTTTAGTTTGTATTTGTAATCAACTGCCATGCTGCCTTCCAAGAGGCTGTACCATTTTGCATTCCACCAGCAGTGCATGAGAATTCCTGTTGCTCCACATGGCCACCAGCATGTTGTCAGTGCTCTGGGTTTTGCCATTCTAATAGGTGTGTGGTGGTATCTTATTTTTGTTTTAATTTGCATTTCCCGGATGGCTAATGATGTGGAGCATCTTTTCATATGCTCCTTTGCCATCTGTAAATCTGATGAGATGAGATGTCTGTTAAGGTCTTTAGCCCATTTTTTAATTGGCATGTTCCTTTTCTTACTGAGTCTTAAGAGTTCTTTGTGTATTTTGGGTAACAGTCTTTATCAGATAAGTCTTTTGCAAATATTTTCTCCCAGTCAGTGGTTTGTTTTTTCATACTTTTGACAGTGTCTTTTCCTACATGTCATTTTCCACTTTTGTGTACCAAGGTACTTCAAATTTATGTGTCCAAAACTAAAACCTTTGTTTCCAACCATCCAAGGTTCTCATCTCCTGTATCCAGTTAGTCATCAAGCCTTGATTTTTCTGTTTATGTCAAATCTGGCTTTGCTTCTCTCTCTCCCTCATTTTCACATGTCCTTCTCTTCTACTTTCTAAGTGTCTGTCTGCTTTTGGTCTCTTCCTCCTCCTTTCAGTTATTCCTACTTTAATTTAAAGGGGCTTTCTGACATAGGTGACTTACAAGGCCTTCCGTTTAAAGTCCCAAGTTCCTTGACATGGTTAGTTAGTACACAGTCCCTTCTGGAGCTGGCTCTTGTTACTTTCCTGCCATTTTCAGCTATGTACTTGTAAGTTCCTATATGCAGGGTATTTTCTCTTTTCCAGCAAAGCTCTACAATTTCACCTGAGACATCACTTAGCTGAGGTGCTCTTCCTGGACCCCCCGCCTTGAATTGGATGTCATCTCCCTGTGTTCCCATAGCACTTTCTGCTTGGCCCCAAGCTGTTCCCCAGACTAATTTTTCTCTACTACTTTGCCTCCCCAGATAGACTGCAATCTGTATGAGGACTTTGCCTTGATCACCCTTGTCTAGAGTTTAGCACTGTTTCTGGCATGTAGTTGGTGCTCAGTAAGTATTTATTTAATGACTAATACCTTCACATTGTCCCAATATGATCTTCCAGCCTTATTCTCTAGCATTTCTTCTTTGCTATACCTGGTTAAACTGGATTCTTTTTGTTTCTTGAATATTCTCCTTTAACAGCTCTGTGCCTTTGCTCATGATTGTACTTAATCTCTCAGATGTCTTATCTGTGCTACTTTGGGCAGATGACTTAACTTCTCCAAGCCTTAATTTCCATTAGCATGTGAACAGCTATTAAGCATGTTGCTGTCCCTTGCCCCGGGTCCTAATGCTGGAGTGGCAGTGTAGTTGAGTGGTTAAGAACCAGAGCTGGATGTGTCTCTTGGCTCTGTCAGTTACTAGTTGTGTTTGTGACTTTAAGCTCCATGAGAGCAGGTACACTGCCTACTTTTGCGTTTAGAAGCATATTACATTAACACATAGAAAGTGCTTAAATAATTTAAAAAATTAGTTGTTGAGTAAGTTAATTTCTCTAAATGTCACCACTTACATTCTAGACAGGGAAAGAGCAGAATTACAAATTGTGATATGTACTATAGAGGAGTCAAAAGTGCTGGAATAAAGAATAGTGGTGGGAGGGAGGCTTGCTGTGAGAAGTGGTGACATTTAAGCTACATTAAAAGGATAAGGAGCTAGTTGTTTGAAGGAGGGAAGGGAGAACATCTCAGATTGAATGAAGGAGCAGCAGAGGTAAAAGCCCTGAGGGAGGAATGACCATGGACTATTCCAGGAGCTGAGAGAAGTGTTGCGGGAGCAAAAGGATGAGGGGGAGGGCTAGGCAAGGATCAGATCCTGCAGAGTCAAAGTAAGGAATGTGAATTTTAAGAGTACTGAGAAGCCATCAAAAGGTTTTAATTCAGGGAGTAACATAATCTACTTTTACTTTTTAAGATTGCTTTAACTGTTTGGAAAATTGGTTGGTTAGAAGGCCATTTCTTTGATCAGGAAGTGCTGTAGTTGATTATAACCTGGATTAAGGTGGTGGCAGTGAAGATGAAGTGGATGGATTTGAGATGTATTTTGGGTACAGAATTAACAGGGCTTGCCGATGGATTAGATATGAGAGGTGAGGGAAGGAAGGAATTAGGTGGTTTCTGGCTTGAGCAACTGCGTGGATCATGGTGCTGTTTACCAAGATGGGAAAAACTAGAAATGAGGGGCAGATAGCAATAAAAGTGAAAACAAAACAAAACAAAACAGAAGGATAGTAGTAAAATTCAAAGTTCTGATATGTTGGATTTGAGATATCTATGATCCAGTGAGGTAGAAGGAACATCACAGAAGTGAGATACTAGGAGATGTTTGGGTGTTAGAGGGAGTGGCACAGTAGAAAAAGGGAGAGACCTGATGCAAGAGAGACGGATAATAGAAGGAATGTGAAGTCTAAGAAGGTGAGGATACTGCCCAATGGCAGGGGTCACTTCCATTCTAAGGGGAAGGAAGTGGTAAATCAGCATTTGATGACTTCTGTTGTATTTTGTAAAGGAAACATGGGTGAAGCCATCAGTTGAGAGTATTTATAGTTAGTGATTACTGTACTATTGCAGGTTAAAGACATGTTGAGAAACTGAGCAGAGAGGAGAGAAGAGAACTCTGTGATGTGTTGCCAGTGATGATACCTGATACTGTTCTTGAGATTCTAGAATACCTGCAGGAGTGGAATTACTTTTTTTTTCCTCAAGTAAACTTTTTTGTTGAAGTATAGGATAACTACATATAGAAAAGTGCTCAGATTTTACGTGTACAGCTTGATGGTATTTTAACACACTGTTGTGACCAGCTCCCACCTGTCCCATTACTTTTATTGAAATCTTTAGGAACTCTAGGCTGAATAATGTAGCTCATACAGTCCATTTGGGGTCAGTTTATTCTCTAGGCTTGAGCCACAGTGACACAAATGAGATTGGCAAAGACCTTTTATAAGTCTTGAGATTACCCAGTCCTGTTGAATTTGTGGCTTTTGTTCTTGTTTGTTTTGAATAGCGGGGGATTGGGGGTGGTGGGGGGGAGCACATGGAAGGAACTAGAAGGAGAAATGGAAGAAAAATCTTTGGAGAATTTGTATTTATGAAGCAGATATTGCCAGTGAGAATTATTTCCTTCAAAATTATAAAAACATTAATGCCAGTCTTGTATTTTATAGGAAGTAGTAAACTGTACTTGTTCTAGTTATTTATTATTATTGTCATGTTGACAGGCATAGCTAGTGATGGTTGATACAGTGAAACTAAGTTTACTATACACTAACTTTTTTACTTCTATTTTTGGTTTAACTAAATGAAGTAATCTAATTGTTAAAAACTTGCTTTTTCTCCCTTTTTGTCTTTTTAGCTCTTTTGAATTTGGCTAAAGTTGAGGGTTTTTTGTTTTTGTTTTTGGTCAAAGTCCCTGATTTAGCTTTATTAGGGACAACTTTGAGTTAATGTCTACAAACTGTGTTCTCTTGATTTTGCTTGGAGAGGTGATCAGATACATTTTGTCTTACAATTAACTTTTAAAATGCTAAATTTAAGCTTTTTTTTTAATAAGTATAAAGTGTATGTATATGTATTTGAAATGTGTGGGTTTTTTTTTAATGTGAATAGGCTGTTTTATAAATAATTTTTTCTCTGTAAGTATCCATCTATCTATTCAAGGCTTTTTAAGAAAAAAGAAATCTAAGAGAAAAAAGCTACAGGCAAAATCAACTCTTAAGTTCTGTTTCAATTTCTGTATGAAGTTACCAGCAATTGATTAGCAGGAAAGTGTGGGGACACAAAATATGCACAAAAATTTAAAAATTTAATCCTTTTTTGTTACCAAAGTAATATGTGTTCTATGGAACATTTGAGAAATATGTACAGAAATGCAACCCCCACTTTCCCATATTCATTCATAGTGTAGTAATTGGAAAGTAACCATTGTAGACATTTTGGTGTAGTTTCTGGTCTGTGTGTGTTTCACATTTTTTTGAGACAGCTATAGTTTATTTTATTTTATTTATTTTATTTTATTTTATTTTATTTTATTTTATTTTTTATTTTATTTTATTATTTTATTTATTTGAGAGGGGAGGTAATTAGGTTTATTTATTTGATGGAGGTACTGGGGATTGAACCCAGGACCTTGTGCATGCTTAACATGCACTCTACCACTGAGCTATAGTCTCCCCTGCAGCCATATATATTTTAAAGTTAATTTCTTTGATCTGACTTACATCCTTACAGATATTTTCCCATTAAAGGATTACCACTTGTCAGTAACTATACATGTTTGAATTGTATAATTCCAGATGATGAAGTGTGTGTTTACAGTCTGTGTATCCTGCAGTTCTTGACATTTTGTGTACCTGTAGGTCAGTGGTCCCATCTCTGTTCTCTGATTTCTGGTTGCAAACTTGACCTTCTTTCCTTCTCTAATTCCGCACCTCAAGTCTTTAAACCACATTCTGCAATTCGGATGCCCTTCTAGTTTTTTTCTGTTACGTTATATGGTATGTCCGTACATGGCGTACTTATATAAAAATAGACAACTATATCAATGTCCATATTTACTTAACTCTTTTTTTCTCTTTCAACATAAATGGGATTGTAATGTATTCAGTAGCTTGTTTTTTTTTTCTCTACCTGCTTAAACAATTTGATTCTTATATGTTAGTCTGTATGAGTCTATCTCATTTAAAAGAAAAAAAAAGCATTTTGTTGTATGGGCTATAATTTAATCATATTCTTAAGATAGGGCTGTTTTCAGTTTATTTGCTATTACAAACGAGATTGCTGTAGTTCTCTCTCTCTCCCACCCCACCACCACACACACAGACACACACAACTTTGCCAACGTGTAAATCATAGGATAGACTCTGAAAAGAAAAACTGCTGTGTCAAAGAGTATATGCACTTTAAATTTTGAAACAAACTGCCAAATCTTATTAGCAGCCTTCACAGTGGACATTTCCAGTGGTGTAGGAATCTGTTTCTGTACATCTTCGCGAATACTTGGAATCAAATCTTTAAAAACAAATTTATATCTAAAATTTCTTAAGTAATGCATGCAGTTTGTGACATTTAAGTTTTTGAACTTCATTTTCCTTTCATCTAAAGAGTTCTACATACATAGTAATTCAAGTCTATTCCATTAGGCTTGTTTTTTAAAGAAAAACTCCCTGCCCCTACTGCTCTCCAGATGTCCTTTGCCAGAGGCAACTGGTTTTACTTCTTTGAAATGATTATTTTTATATTTACCTTCTCTGTCTCTAAATAACATGCTTTTGTTTTTACTTCAATATGTCAGTTTTAGGCCTTATTCCTATTGTGGATTTAACTCCTCTTTCTGCCCCCATCCCCAGTCCCTTCCCATTCCCATACTGTCCTAATTTAGTAACATCATAATTCTATGTTTGCATTATTGTGACTATAAAGGTTATTCATAATTTGAGCCATAAAGTAAATTGTGGTTACTTTTTTCTCAACTATTTAATTTATATTTGTATCATTTTCCTTGTAGTTAATACTTCCCTGTTTTGCTTTATTTTCTCTGTGCAAATGCTGATGCTACCCCACATTCCTTACCACTTGTCTAAATGCTCAGGTTGTTTGGATGCCCGTGGTGTAAAGTTGTCATTATCCTCAGTGCTCCCCTGCATCTTTCTGTTTACTGTAGCCCATGTTGTCTTCTTTCTTGGTTCATCCTTTTGTATTTGAAGAGCTGTCCTCCAGGGGACATATCTAGGGGAAGTAAACAATGTTTTGAAACCTTGCATGATTATTTTACCCTCAACACTTTCAGGGTATTTTGGTTGGACACAGAATTTTAGAATGATAATCATTTTTCTTGGAGGATTTTTAAAAAGTACTGGTCTGTTGCACCTAGCTTTGGATATTACTGCTTAAAAAGTCCAAAGCTCTTTTGCTTTCTAACTTATTGACTCTAACAAATATTTTTTGAGCCTGTACTATGTGTCAGGCACTGTTTTCAGTGTTTGGGAGACATCATTGAGCCAGACAGATTCCTACCTTCCAGGAGATAGAGAGGGACTAAAACAGCAAACATAAGTAAGTTAGTTGTGTAGCCTGATAGAAGGTAATACATTTTATGGACAACAATAGAGTAGAAATGGAGGAAGAGAGGTGGAATGGGTAAGGATTAGGAAGAGGGGTCAGTGGGCAGAGCACTGGTCACTGTTTTAAATAGAGGGAACAAGGTAGGTCTCAATGAGAAGGTAACATACAAGCAAAGGTTAGAAGGAGGTGAAAGTCATGTGGATATCCAGGAGAAAAAGTATTTTAAGGCAGAGGCCCCAAGCAACAACCTAGCCTTATGGAACAAGGAGGCTAGTGCAGTGAGTGAGGGAGAAAGAAGTGGGAGATGAAGTCAGGATAATGGGGACACATCATCATTTTGCGTAGGGCCTTTTAGGCTGTTGTAGGATTTTATCTATTACCCGGATATGGGAAGTTTTAGTGGATTTTTCTGATTGCTATGCTCAGAATGTATTGGAGGGTGGGGATGGGAGACAAGGATGGAAGCAGGGAGACTCGATAGGATATTGCAATAATTCAGTTGAGAGATAATGGTGGCTTAGACTATATAGTGGTAGTAGAGGGTGGTGAGGAGTAGTTGGATTCTGGATATATTTTTCAAGGATGTACAGTAAGATTTCTTGGTGGTTTTAGATAAGTGGTGTGTAAAGAAAAATCAAGGATGACTTGAAGGCTTTTGAACTGAGTCACTGGAAGGATGGAGTTGCCATCAAATGAGGGGAAGGCTACTGACTGAGTAGTCTGGGAGAAGAAAACGAGTTCAGTTTTGGGCCCCACCCCCGTCCCCTGCTCCTCATAGTGATGTCTTAGAGGGAGTTGGGTGTACAGATCTGGGGTTTAAGACAAATCCGGAGGGTTTTTGTTTGTTTTTTAATCTGGGCTGGAGATAAAAATTTAGAAATCTGTGGCAGTATCAATGGAATTTTAAAACCACAAGACTGAGTGAGATCACCAAAGTGAAGAAAAGTGGGCCATGGGCAATTCCCAGTTTTAAGAGTTTGGAGAAGAAGAGCAGGAGCTGAGGAGGAACTGGTAAAATAGGAAAACCAAGAGTGTGCAGTCAGTGAACAGAGTTGACCAGGCCAGTGACCCATCAACTCTGTCAGATGTTGGTGACAGTTCAAAACTTGGCAAATTTAAATACAAATGAAACTACAAAACCAGTAAAATTTAAATTATATTAATTTATGAAAGTATTGAATACTGCCTTCTAAATTGAAGTCTTGAAACAACTGTTTTGCTGTAGGTTTTTTTTTTATTATTTGAGTTGAACATACCAAAATTATCCCACATATATTGTGGCCACCGCATGATGCATATTTTTACCGGTGTATAAGTGCTTCAGTGAAAACCATGTCATTGGGCTTCATGTCACAAATGCATCATTTATATTAGGTCCCCCTCTATTTTTCTCTTTAATCTACCGTAACTGAGTACTATGGTACCAACTTGAAGCCAGTGTGACCATAAGTGCAAATAGGAGCATTCACTTATGGCTAATAGGTGGATTCAGATGATCCAGAATGTGCTAATGCTGTTTTTTTAGGTTATTTTAAACACAGGAAGTTAAAACATTAAATTTTTGTAGAGAAGTATGTCCCCCTCCACTGAGAATAGAGTTTCAGATGTGAGCTTATGAAGACACAAATTGTAACTATTTCAAGGGAATATAATTTAATTTGAATCAGGCTTCATGAATTTAATATGGCATTTCCCCCCATACATTCTATTATTTTTCTGCTATTTTAGTAGTAAAGAACCCTTAATTATATAATGTATTAAGACTCTGATGTGACTTTTAACCTCATTTCTTTCTCTGTCTCTCAAGCAGCGTGCTCTTTTCTGTTTAGCTTAGTATCACCAACTCTTAATAGGTTGCTACCAATTTTGATCTACTTTAAATGTTTGTTCTCTGTATATATGTGTGTATTTACCTACCATTACTTGTCCGGTGGAATGTGGAGATGAATGGATTGTACGTTACAGTGTACAAGATGTTTTATGAGGAAGATTTAAAACGTAGCATAATGCCATGATAGAGCAAAGATCTCCTGGAATGTGTGACACTTTTACTTCTAGAGAGAATATAAAACAAAGCCTGGACAGTAAACAATTGTGTTGAAACTTGGACACAAATAACTAAGTGAGTAATATTTGAATGCTTTCATCTAGATACTGTGAGTCTTGGTTATATTGCATTAGTGATTGTGTTGTAATCACGACTGACATGATTTCACTAATTTCAAGTGTGTTACCAAAAATTCTGTTGAGAATAAAAAGGTTGAGAGCCTATTTGACCCTCTTTCTTATTTCTCTCCTCTTACCTCTCTTCTTGATTCTTTGCTTTGATTTAATGTCTAAGGGTTTAATGACTGTCAGAATCTATCATTTTTGATACAGAAAATTTCAAAAAGCAACTGCTTGCTATGACTATCAGTTTAATTTAAAAGATTTTTTGTTGGGATGCTAAATTGAATATTCTGTGTCAGACTGAGATTATACATACTGTTATTTGAAAGAAAATAAGATTTAGGGACAAAGTGGACAGTCTGGCTCTGTTCTTATTACTTCTTAATTTTTCTGACCTTCAATTTACTCATCTGCAAAATGGAGACATAGTCTTCTTTATGAGGCTTAAATAGTGTATATTGAAGCTGCTGACATGGTGCCTTACAGGTTGGTGGGTACTCAGTTGAATCGCTTCTTTAATAGCAAACTCTGTTATCTTTATCATATTTCAGACACAGTCCCAAGTTGAGGTTATGAAAGTGAACACAGTAGGTTAAAACAACAGTAAAATCCCGAAAACCTAGGTCTTTTAATTTAGTGATTCACTGCAGGGTTCCTAGTATGGCTCTGTAAACACCACTAAGTGAGTATGTTGTTAATAATATACCGAATGTTCCCATGTATTTGATCTCAGTTAATGTCCAAAGGTCTTGATAGTTTTGTTGTTCCACGAGTGGGAAACTTGAGACTCAGGATACTGTAGTTTTGCCCAATATCAGAATAATTAGTATAGGTATATTCTCAGTGGTGCTTTACTGAAAAATGAAATTACTGTCTAGGAATGCATGGGTTTATGGAACTATGATAGCACAAACAAATGCTTTGAAAACTTAGAGAATTGGTTTGGAAATACATCCAATTTTTTAAGATTGCGTTTATGGTGATAAAATGATTTACTTCACATACCATAGTGTTATTTTTTAAAATAGATTTTATTTTTTAGAGCAGTTTTATATTCACAGGAGAATTGAACAGAAGATGGAGATTTCCCATATTCATCCTGCCCCATCATTATCACCCAAGTCAATGGTTTACACTACTGGTTCACTCTGAGAGCTATATAAGTATTGACAAATGTATAATGATGTATATCCATCACTATAGTATACAGAATACAGTGGTTCACTGCCTTAAAAATCCTTTGTGCTCCACCTGTTCATCCTCTGCCCCCACCAAATCTCTGGCAAACTGATTTTTTATTTTTATTATTATTTTTTTTGCTGCCTCCATAGCTTTGCCTTTTCCAGAATGTTATATAGTTGTAATCATATAGTATGTAGCCTTTTCACATTGGCTTCTTTCACTTAGCAGTATGTATTTAAGACTCCTTAATATCTTGTTGTGGCTTGATAGCTCATTTCTTTTTACCTCTGAACTAAATTCCACTCTATCAATGTACCACAGTTTATCTGTTTACTACTAGAAGACATGTTGGTTGCTACCATGTTTTGGCAATTATGAATAAAGTTGTAAATATCTATGCAAGTTTTTGTGTGGACATAAGGTTTCAGCTCCTTTGGGTGAATACCAAGGAGCATGATTGCTGAATCTTATGGTAAGAATATGTTTAGTTTGTATTTGTAATCAACTGCCATGCTGCCTTCCAAGAGGCTGTACCATTTTGCATTCCACCAGCAGTGCATGAGAATTCCTGTTGCTCCACATGGCCACCAGCATGTTGTTGTCAGTGCTCTGGGTTTTGCCATTCTAATAGGTGTGTGGTGGTATCTTATTTTTGTTTTAATTTGCATTTCCCTGATGACTAATGATGTGGAGCATCTTTTCATATGCTCCTTTGCCATCTGTAAATCTGATGAGATGAGATGTCTGTTAAGGTCTTTAGCCCATTTTTTAATTGGCATGTTCGTTTTCTTACTGAGTCTTAAGAGTTCTTTGTATAATTTGGATAACAGTCCTTAATCAGCTAATGTATTGTGCAAATATTTTCTCCCAATCTGTGGTTTGTCTTCTCATTCTCCTGACCATATCTTTTGCAGAGTAGACATTTTTACTTTTAATCAAGTCCAGCTTATCAATTGTTTCTTTCCTGATTCATGCCTTTGGTGTTTCTGAAAGGTCATTGCCAGACCTTAGGCCATCTAGATTTTCTCCTGTGTTACCTTCTAGGAGTTTCATAGTTTTATGTTTTACATTTAGGTCTGTGATCCATTTGAGTTAGTTTTTGTAAAGAGTGTAAGATTTGTGTCTAGATTCCTTTTTTTCTGCACGTGGATACCCAGCTGTTCCAGCACCATTTGTTGAAGACTCTCTGTTATTCATTGTATTGCCTTTTGCTCCTCTGTCAAAAATCAGCATAGTGTTATTTTAAAATAGTGTTATTTAAAGTGAATTTTAAATCTCAGTTGTGAATTCACCCTCTTTAAGGTTATATCATGCAACAGATATATTCTACCTGAGGGGTCATCGGGGCTGAGAGAATGCTGGTTGTATACATTGGAATTTCTTCTACTTGGAATCCTTCATACTGTTATATTTGATTTATTTATTCCTTCCAGAAATATTTGAGTACCTGGTCTGGACTGGGTACTGTCCTAGGTGCTGGATATAAAAGAGTGAGCAAAACAAAACAAGGTCTATTCTCATGAAGTGTTTATATTGTGGTGCAGAGGTTCTGAACTAGAAGTATGAATGATTCAGGGAGGCTGGGAGTTCTCAAGACCTTTTGAGGGTTAAAAACTTTTTTCCACAACAATGAGACATGAAAGTAAAGTGGAGGTTCCCAGAGGCTACATGACATGTGATATCTTCACAGGTTAATTGCAGAAGCAGGTAATGAATATCCAGCTGTATTTTATTGTGTCAGATATTAAAAATATTTGCAAAAAATGTAACACTTTTCCTCCCTATTATGGAAAAGTTGTTTTTCATCAATATTTAATATGTAGTAGATTTTTACATGTTGTGTAAAAAAGTGTGATGGTAATTTTAACAATTGTTTTAAACATTCTTGGCTTGAATTTCTAATATTGTAAATATTAATACATGTAAACCACATTGATAAAATGCTATTTTGGGGTCCTCAATAATTTTTTAAAACTTTAAAGTAGTAAAGGCAATTTTTTCTTAAATGGCCAGATAAGTATAAAGGGCTTAGAAGTCACAGGGTCAACTTCTCAGCTCCACCTTTGAAAACAGTTGTAGATAATATGTAAATGAATAGGCTTAACTGTGTTCCAATAAAACTGCTTACAAAAACAGGCAAGTGGCATGTAGCTGTAGTTTGCCAACCATTGGTGTAAAGAGTTCCTGATACCAGAAAAGTTTGAGAATTGCTCTTATCAGTAAAAAGCTGGTACTGTGGGGAGGGAGAAGGGGAGAAAATAGACAATAAGGAAGTTATTTAGCAAGAGAATTTCATATGGCAAGAGATAATATGAAGACAGAGTGAGAAGGGTGATCTGGCCTTCAGATAGAGTGACCAGGAAAGGTCCCTCTGAGGAGCTGACTTTAGTTAACTCTTACTTGTTCAGAACTTAACCAGGTTTCATCTCTCTTCTTTTTTGATTTCTGCTGGCTACTTTGGGGATCCCTCTTGTGTTGGGAGGGAAAGCAAGACAATGTAAATTTTCATTTTTGTTTGTTTTGAATCTTATTAGACTTAAATTTCAAAAACATTAATTTTTTAAATTGAATTAGAAAATATCTAAAGCATATCTGCTTTAAAAAAGATCTAGGAAATTATATTGCCTATGTTTGAACATTGACCTAATTTATATGACACTTAGCAAATTACTTCACTATCATTTTTCTCTTCTGAAAATGAGAGAGTGAGTTAAGATCTTTTCCAAGTCTGAAGATTTTGATAGATACATCTCTGTTTGCTTTGCCTAGGATGCCATTTGCCACCCCTTCGAAGTCTTCCTTGATCAGATAGCTCCAACTTCTTTTTTTTTTTCAACTAGTTCTGTGATCTGAAGCATTTATTTTGAAATCTGTTTTCTTATCTGTAAGGCGAAGGGTAAATGCTTAACCTGGAAGTTCATTGAGTTGGTCGAATTAGAGCATATGTAAACCATTGAAGACAATACCTGGGACATATATATGCCTGTTAATAAATATTTGAAGCAGCTGTTTTAGAACCATGGAAAGTCCCTACTCTGCCTCAGTATTTGGCTTGCTGATCCTGGGACCCACTTAGATTATATCAGTAAGAATAAAACTACCAACCAACAATGAAGCGCCAATGAGGCACGTGAAAATTAAACATGAAAACTTATGTAGAAGGGCTAAAGAAGGACAAGAGCAGCACAGTCCGAATTTATGTGGCCATTCTGACTTCAGGAAAAGGAATGGGGAGTAGCGGTTCCTGCCATCAAAATCATTCCCTTGTTGGAGATTGAGTATCTGTGTAATTAAATGTTTTAGCGTATCAAGTGATAGCATTATCAGTTTTAGCAAAGCCAAATTTATGGACTTGATGAGTTCTCTTGGAATGCAGTGCAAAACAAAGACTGGAATTATGAGGAAAAAGAGTAAAGTGACTGGAAGATAGATCCAGGAGAGTCAGTATCAGAATTGTGTGAAGAAAACTGAGTAGATCGAGTCAAAGAACAAGTAGAAGTCGACAAAAGTAGAAGGCTTGAGTCTTGGGATTGAAAATATTCACCTGGTGTTTGGCGACTGCTGATGGCATATATCTAAGATGTTCTGGTGAAAATTTCTTCCAAAGGTAAAGAAAAAGTCCTACAAGCCACCTGTCAGGGTAGAAAAGGTTACCTGCAAAGGAATGAGAATAAAAAATGACATTAGATTTTTCACCTGTATCATTACATGTCAGAAGACAGCAGAATTTACATAGTTCTTAGGGGTAAAGGGTGTGACTAGAATTCAAAGCTTGTGCAATTTATGCAAGAGCTTCAGATTGCTAATAAGACTGAGACTTAAGCACTTGTATGCCCTTTCTGAACATTTTCTTGAGACTCTAGAGCCATACCAAAAATGTATCATAATTAGGGATTCAAAGGGAAGAAAAATGATATTTGTCTTACGGTATAATAGTGAGAAATGAAACCAGAATGGTTGCATTTAGGTTTCAATGATTGTTTTGACAAAGTTTTGAAGTTTAGTACAGTCTTTATCCTGGCAGGTGGGAAAGGGAAAGTTTCACTAGTAGCATGTTAAAGGGCTTGCCTTGTTTTGGGAGATGTTAATACTTTCATTCTTGATGTTAATGTAGATTGAATGTGAAATAAAAATAAGGATAGTAGCTAGTAAAATAAAGTTAGACTATAGAATCGTTCTGTCCAATAGGACTTTCTGCAGTAATGAAGAGACAGCGATACTATTTTGCATTCGCACCAGCAACGTATGAGTTTCATCTTTTAGACATCTCACAGGCATCTCACTCCTACTTTACATTTAATCCCTTATCATAGTTAAGTACCTAGCATAGTGCCTGATGGGTTCTGATTAAGTATATACTTTTTTTTTAAATCAGATGTAGAGGCATCAAAATACAGTAATTTAGGCAGGAAAAAGCAAATGTATTTTGCTTTTACGCATTTGAGTTATGGTTTTCATTTTTCTTTCCATTTACTGTCATCTACCTTTGTTCAGACATCTGTTTTTCACAGTGGCCTTCTATCACGTCTCGTCCTGGGCTTTCCCCACGTCAGATCATCATTCTTACTAGACACATAATTCTTATTCTGTGGCTACAGCATTTTCTGAATTATCTTCAGGAAAATAGAGCTCAGTGTCAAATGTATAAAGCACCTTTTCTGAGAAAAGTTGAGGAAAAGAGGAAGGCCCTTAAATGTTTTGAATAGAAGAGTTTTATTTAACCCATTGATTATTAATACAGAGAGCAAGTCTCTTATCTGAACCTGTACTTTTATAATATATATTATGTCATTTCTAGGAATAATTTTTGGAGAAATAAAAGAGGGGTAGCTATATTTGAATCTTATCTTTTTACTAAATTAAGAATTCAAATTTTACTTCTTATTTTGACTAATTTTCACAGTTCTCAATCCACTAATATTTATAAAGCAGTTTCTTTATTGTCCCCTTTGAAGGAAATATAGCTAAAAATTACCAGTATCCTACCACTCAGATAACTAACTTGTTGATTATTTTCTGGTGTGTAGTCTCCCTGATTTCTCACAGTCTTACCCCAGAAACACTCATGTACGTTCTGTTTATAACTTGTTCTACAATACATTGTGACCCTTTTTCCTTGTCTGAGAACATTTCTTCTTTTTAAACGTTTTTCATAGGTAACTATTAGCTTCCTGTTGCTGCTGTAAGATAAACATTTCCAGAGGCAGGCGTTAGGATGTGGGCATCTTGATGGGGGCATAATTTGTAGGCCACAGTAACATTTGTAAAGTGCAAGAAAATGAAAAGCACAACATTGTTGTGTATCCATTAGAATAGCCAGGTGTAAGGTTATGATTCATCAGAGAAATTCTTCATCAGCCATTTATAATAGGAAACAAAGTTTCCCACATGAAATTGAGAATAAAAGTTTAAATCCATTTACTTCTACCATAAGATTGTTAATGTGGTTAAATGCTCTGAAATTAAGGCTTCTAAAATGTTTTGATTTAGATTAAAATCTGTTTAAGCTTTATACCAAACTGGGCTTGAGATGTAGGCTTTAGAAAGGGTAGGTAATAGTGCACTCTTACTAAATTTTGGAGTCTTGCTAACTTTGGATTCTATGGAATTGTTTTAGTGTAATGTAGTTTTTGTGAAATTTTCCCTTGTTGCAGAGTCAGTTTAAATATTCTACCTAGTCAAGAAATTCTACTGTATTGTGCTAAAAATTAGTTAAGTGGCAGATGATCTTTGGTAGACATGTTTGATGACCTTATAAGCTAAAGGCATCTTTTAGAGTATATATAGCTGGAACCCGCAAGTCCTGTGGTCTCTAACTAGTTGATGATCTCAGGCAAGGCAGGTTAACTTTTGGAAGTATGTAAGTGAATATTTACATATTTGGAGTATGTACCACCTATGATATATGTAATCCACCCATCTCCCTTAATCCACACGGAAGCCATGCAAGGCTGGAAATACTGTCCCAGTTTTACAGCTAAGCAGGTGGTGAAGACTCGGTTTGAATCCTAGTGTAGATGACTCCAGAACACTTCCACTTTTACTGTCCTGAATCACTTGTTGAGAGGTTTATCCATAGATTGATGGTATTCAGATGGTGTTGTAAGGTTCTGTACAGGTCCTTTGGAAGTTTGAGAAAAAAATATTTATCTTTTTGACTGGAGGAATCTGTCATCCTTTTTACTTGTTTTAGACATTTGGACTCTTAATTCTGTTTAGAAAGTTTTCTGCCTAAAACATTTGAAGTGTCCTGCTCTAGAAACCTGAGACCTATCTAGAATGAATATGTATTAGAAAATAAAAACATAGGTAATAGGAGTTTATATTTGTCAGTGGACAGACTGTATTTTCAATTATATTTCTATTCCTAATGATGTTTTGTGTAGCCTAATACAAAATGAGGTTGAGGTGATTGAACACCCTATAATAGGGTGGGGAAGTGATTAGAGTTAAAATTTTATGCTGAAAATGGGCAATCAGCAATTTACTGCACAGGGTTCACTCTCCACTGCCAACTCTTGCTGCCTTTAAAGGCTGCCCTAAATAAGCATGATGTAATGACAGGTTAAACCTCCGAATCCATGAGCTGACGCAATGCAAATCTGAGGCCCAGGACTTTATTGGGGCAAGGGTAATAATGCTTGTTTAAAAACAAAACAAGCTACTCTGTTTAATGAGGCTGTTTAAGATGGCTTTCCCAGAGTGGGCAGAGGATATAATCTCAATTTGGAGGTTGAAGTAGGAGTGTAATATGGTTATGTTTGTTTACTACTCTCACTGTGAATTCTTGTCTAAGAGAGAAGAGGGGAGTTTAAAATAAGGTGCTGACTGCGGTAAGAATGGAGAAGTGAGTTAGAATTGAGGAAATAAGGTAGTTGACGCCTGATGAATAGTTAGTGAAGTAGGGAGAATGCTTTATAAAAATCAGGGGGTCACAGGGTTAACCGTGAGAGTATAGTGCAGAGAGTGCTTATCTGACTACGTGTTTCCCATAAATTCTGTATAGCTCTTGTGTTGAAACCATCCGACATTGCCGATATCCGACTGTTTGGGCCTTACAAAAACAGGGCATTTTGACCTACGTGTAAGCTGGTGGAAATGCTGAGGCGTGCACAGCGTCGCTGGGGATCGTGGGGCTTTGCCGGGATGGGGGGGAGAGGGGGGTAGTTGCACGCTGCGTGCCTTGGAGCCGCCCCAGGCCGATTGGGGCGGAGCTTCAGACCCCGCCCCCACGCAGCGGCCCTGCCCCTCGCTAGCCGCCGCAGCCGCCGCCCTGAGCACTTCGAGCCTGCGGACCGCTGGCAGTCCCGGTTGGAGCAGGCTCTCCCCACTGCGGCCCAGCCCCCAGACGGCTCTCCTCGCGGACCCGAACCTGCAGTAGTAGCTTCATAGCTGGCACGGAGACCGCACCACCTCGTCCGGTCGCCGTCGCGCACCCTCCAACCCTGTCCTTCACCAAGCTGGCCTGAGCCTAGCCAATGAATTTGGGGAAGACAAACTTCCAAGACAGACAGATGAAGGTTTAGGGCCCAGCAGAAGACAGCTCAGCGATGGCTCCCATTTTTGGAGACGCAGGCGAATTTGAGCTCACGGGGAGGTTTGGTCGACTCCTCTCGGGACGAGAAAGGGCTTAATTTCTGTGCCTCGGTAGCCCCTGCTTCTGAGGAGTGGATGGGTGTATGGAGCAGGGCAAGTGCCTTACCTTCTTGAAAACTTGACCCCGGACATGTTTGGGGCAGAAGGTGTCCAGGAGGGCCCTCTGTTACAACTTTGTCTTTGCTTCTGGGGGAGAGGCTATGAGCTGCCTAGCTTCTCATGACCGGGAAGTCTCCCTCACCTTTTCTGTACTCCTGGAGGGGCGTCTTGCTCACTTGTTTACCAGCTTCTGGGACAAGGAAAAGAAAAGGTATTGCTGTTAAGAGACTGGATTGCTTAAACTCTGAAATGGGAAAGTTGTAAGCCAGTGGAATCTGAATGGATCAGGGAATGGCTGTAGCATAACTGAGCTGGCAGTGATGTTTCTTTTGAAAGCTGTACTTTTCTCAGTTTAAATCAAACTTCAGGTTATGTCATGATTCCTGCAGTGTTGTCCAGACACTTGAGCCCTTGGTTCCTACTGCAGGGCTGCTGTGTGGTTCATATTCTTTTTCTGTTTGAAGATGGAATTTGGTTCGACGTTCAGAGCTCTGGGAGCTCTTAGCAGCTGCTAGCCTGTAATTCTCCCATTCACAAGAAATACAAGCCACATTTCACTTGTTTTCACACGTTGAATAGGAATTTAAATTGTGCTTTCTACAATGTTTGGAAAAATAATAAATATTTATTGTAACATGGGCCTGAACTATCTGATAAATGTATAACTATTTTGCTAGGTCAAAAAATTAAACAATAATGTTTTTCTTGCTTAGTTATATTAGGTTGAATACAAGCTGAGTTTGTTGCCTCTCAATGTGATTAGCTGTTTTGGTTTAGTGAATTGAAAGGCATTGGTGGCTAAAATCATTTTGTACCCAAGGAACCACTTCACATTTATTATGTTGCTCTCTTAAATGAGCAGCATAAAATGAACCATGAAATAGGCATACAGCGCACATTCAGGGCATTCTGACAATGGAAGCCCATTGTTTTTACTACTGACCTAAAATTAAATGCATGGATCATCATATGCACAGTCAGTCTCCTTAGGGAGAAACAGGATTACAGGAGAATTTCTTTGTAGTGCTTTTTGTTGGACTAGAAAGAACACCGGGGTTATACAGATGATGGGAATTGATTCCTGTTGTCCTAAATCCATGTGATGGGCCACATTATGATAGAATTATGTGATACTTTTGTTTTCCCTTGAACTTTAGAATATTCCTTTAGTGACAGTGGAATTGATCTGATTTGGGGTTTTTTTTTTTAAACCTTCAATCCCCATTTAAGGTATCTATCCTTGAGTAATTATGAGTAATAGAACCCAAATTGCATTTACATGGGCACATTAATAACCAGCACTATTTTTTCAAAGTTAAATTCTTTCCAATAGAATAATGATTATAATTGAGGAAACATTAAATTTGAGGAGTTAAATTTCAGTTGTAGAAATATGGCTTATGGTTTTTGGGCATATACTCTTGACATCAATAGACTGATCTTTTGTCATCTGCTAGACAGTGACCTACTATATCCCAGCAAAGGTAGATTCCTGGGAGAAGTTGCTTGTTTTCACTTTCATTCAGCCTGACAAGTTAGTTAACCTTGTTGAACATTTCTTGCAGATGACATTTATTTCTTAAATAATGTTTTACTGTGCTGATGAATGCTTCAGCAACACTGGTGAACTCTAGGGTACAAGCAGTTCTTTACCTGTTGACACTATCCCTTTTCCCCAGTGTTACGTGAGTCTCTCTGGTGCTTTTGATCTTTATTCTTTATCGTCTTTTCCTGATTCTCTTTCCCCTTTGCAAAGTATACCTGATTTATATTGTGGAGTGGAAGTAGAATAGAATGATTTACTTTCTCTAAATACGAGACTCAAAACTTTTACTTAAAAATGGCCCGCCATTTCTCCTCTATACTGCCTCACTTTTGAAGGGGGCACTGATCATTAGGAAACAAGGTCACTGTCTAGCTGGTGTTAACATTTCATGGAGCTGGATGATGAGATGGCAGTCGGCCTTTCCCCTTGTAACCCCTTCCATCCCTCAGATGTACCCCTAGAGCAGATACCTGTTCACCATTCGGAGCTAATCAAAGTCAATACCCTGGTGATCCTTTGGATCACATATAACTCCCTGGGGCTATCAGCAGCTGACTCAGAATGGGGAAGAAATAGAATGAGTAGGGGTAATAAACACAGAGAAGGAGGAGAAAGTCCAGTCAAAACAGATTTCACTGAACTTAAGCTACTTACATAGTGTTTCTTAGTTGTTTATGGTCCAGTTTCTATTTTAGCATTTATTCCATGTAGTCCATCCAAGGATGATTTTTAACATTTTTTAGAGAAAGGGAATTCTAAATGTGCCCCGGAACATTTTGAAAAGAGATTTTATCCAATGTACAGCTCCTAATAATCAAAAGGCATATTTTATGTAATTGATATATTTTTAAAAACCCTATTTTCCTTTGTTCTTTTGCTCCTGGTAAATTTTGCATGAAACTTAAATATTTCTGGCATGGAAACATTATTTGTAAAAAACAAGTTATAGTTGTAATTATTTTTCTCCTGCCTCCTTTTATTCTTACTTGTTTTTTATTACAGAAATGAGCCGTCAGACTGCAACAGCATTACCTACTGGAACCTCAAAGTGTACACCGTCCCAGAGGGTGCCTGCCCTGACTGGCACGACCGCATCCAACAATGACTTGGCGAGTCTTTTTGAGTGTCCGGTCTGCTTTGACTATGTCTTACCACCCATTCTTCAGTGTCAGAGTGGCCATCTTGTTTGTAGCAACTGTCGCCCAAAGCTCACATGTTGTCCAACTTGCCGGGGCCCGTTGGGATCCATTCGCAACTTGGCTATGGAGAAAGTGGCCAATTCAGTACTTTTCCCTTGTAAATACGCCTCTTCTGGATGTGAAATAACTCTGCCGCACACAGAAAAAGCAGACCACGAAGAGCTCTGTGAGTTTAGGCCTTATTCCTGTCCGTGCCCTGGTGCTTCCTGTAAATGGCAAGGCTCTTTGGATGCTGTAATGCCGCATCTGATGCATCAGCATAAGTCCATTACAACCCTGCAGGGAGAGGATATAGTTTTCCTTGCTACAGACATTAACCTTCCTGGTGCTGTTGACTGGGTGATGATGCAGTCCTGTTTTGGCTTTCACTTCATGTTAGTCTTGGAGAAACAGGAAAAATACGATGGTCACCAGCAATTCTTTGCAATTGTACAGCTGATAGGAACGCGCAAGCAAGCTGAAAATTTTGCTTATCGACTTGAGCTAAATGGTCATAGGCGGCGATTGACTTGGGAAGCCACTCCTCGATCTATTCATGAGGGAATTGCAACAGCCATTATGAATAGTGACTGCTTAGTCTTTGACACCAGCATTGCACAGCTTTTTGCAGAAAATGGCAATTTAGGCATCAATGTAACTATTTCCATGTGTTGAAATGGCAATCAAACAATTTCTGGCCAGTGTTTAAAACCAATGCATTCAGTTTCACAGAGAATAAGGCACCCATCTGTCTGCCAACCTGAAACTTTTGGTAGGTGGAAGCTAGACACATGAAGGTAAATTAAAGGAAAGGCTGTTAAATACAGGAAACAGTTGCATGTAGTAACACTAATATATTTAAAAATAAGTCAACAGTAAACCACTGAAAAAATATATATATATACACCCAAGATGGGCATCTTTTGTATTAAGAAAGAAAGCATTGTAAAATAATTCTGAATTTGTGTTTGTTGTAGATTGAGTGTACTGTTGAAAAATACTGGGTTTTTGTTTTTTGTTCTGTTTTTTGCGTGCGTGTGTGTATGTGTGCGTGAGTGTGTCTGTGTGTGTTTGGTTTTTTGTTTTTTTTTCCTTTAACTGACAAGCCATGTTGAGTGGTCTTGGACCACTGCTTTTCCCCTATGTGAGTCAATACATAGTGCTGCTGTGTGTGTATTATTTTTTTGTGTGTGTACTTGCTAATTTTTATTAATTCTAGTTTTTCATTAAATAAATTTGACTTTCTTTTCTGTAATTCAGGTTTTTCCTCACTTTTTTTGTACCTTTTTAAAGTTAGTCTTTTTGATATGCATAATTGTTTATGGTAAATTTATATATATGTTCAATACATATTTTCTTTTCCCCCATTAATCAGTTCATTAGAAGTATTTTAAATTCGACTATTTTGTGAAGATAAGAGTTCCAGAAAGGAAGGATAACATTGGAAGAATTATCAGAAGCTATTTAAAGCAGCTATAAGATGGTCTGTCTCTCTCTCTCTCTCTCTTTCTCTCTCTCTCTTCTCTCCAGTTGAGTCATACCTTCAGATTTATTCTTTGAAAGGTTTTAGGGCATACTGATTTTTTTTAAATACTGGAAAAAAAATCAGGCTCTCCTCCTCCCCCCAAGTATCTTGGACAAATCACATATGTTTAAAATTTGTTCTTGTATTTATTGGTTTTGCAAAAGAAGGCATCGTCTTACACAGTATTTGTAATTAAAAGCAAATCATTTGTTTAAAAAAAGGCAGTTTGCAAAAAAAATGTTTTTGGTCTTTTATAATTCCATTAAAAGAATATCTGGCAAATTAAAAACTCTTGTGTGTCTGCTTTAGCTCTGAGTTTGATTAAAATCCTCTTATTTTCCTGTTCAATTCTGTACTTTATAGCCAAAAGCAATAAATGTACCGTATTTTGAAGTTTGGTAGGTAAGAGATCTGTTCTTAAAGTATAGCAGAAGAATGGGTGGATGGCCTCTGGACTGCAGTCTTGTTTTTTTCCTTCCTCTTGCTTACAGTTTGATTCTCATAACTCTATTGGGAGGCTGATTAGTTACAATGCAGATCACCTTTTCCCTCCTTTAACAACAGCAAAAATGGGTTAATAGATATTTCATAACCTAGTGGTTATGAGCCTGAGTTCTGCAGCCAGACTTCCAAGGACCTTCATGCGTGTGTTAGCTCTAACTCACCAGCCAGCTATGTGATTTGGGGCCTCAGTTTCCTAGTGTGTAAAATGGGGTTAATCATGGTAGCTACCTCCGAGGGTTAAATGGGGTACAAGTTACCTAGAACAGTGCTCTGCACATAATAAGCACCCAGGGAATGTTAGCTGCTATTTTTATACCTATAACTAGCACCATCTAGTTAACTGTCGCTAGTTAACTCTGCGGCACCTAGCAAGATTCTGAAATTGCCTTCGGTTGGCCAGAGATCATTTTCTTTTGTGTGTTATTTATGGGTATCCTAAACATAGAAAGTCAGGTAAAGCTAGTTTGGATTTACCCCTTACCCCACCCCCAGTTCTGGACAGCGCAGTTTGCTTCTGTTAACTGTTCTCAGGAAAGAAGGTTGTGTAGTTTCCTACATGAGCAGTGTTTTTTGAATTGGTTAGAACTTGTGCTTGTGTAGCCGTTTTTGTGGTGAAAGAGAACAGGTCAACCACCAGTGTATATCCAGGTCTGTTCCTATTAGCATGTGTGGTTAGAAAAGCAGTTTTGCCCCCTCATTTAATATATTGAATTACTTGTGTTTTTAAAATGTTTCTTTGATTCTAAAAGTAGTAGATGTTCATTATATAGACTGGCACCCACAGTAGGGTCTGTAATCTTACTCATTCAGAGGTGACTATGAACATTTTCGTATTTCTAATCCTTTATGTGTATTTACATGTGTTGATACACATTTATTTTGAAATCATATAATTTGGGATCATGTAATTATCTTAACTCCCTCACACCCCCACACGTAACATGATCATCTAAGCATTTCACAGCTTTAATGATCTTGGAAAAAAATTTGGGGTAACTTTTGTGAGGATTGATTATAATTTTATCCAATTTCTCAGTGTTGGATATTTGCTTTGTCCAGTTTATCCGGGTAAATTTTTGGCTAATTATAAATAGCCTGTGAACATTTCTACATGTTTCCTGATTATATTCCTGGAATTCTTTTTTTTTAAGGTCTTAATGTGTTTTTCATTGCTTTCTGGAGAGGTTTCAGTGGAAACTTATGGTAGCAGTGTGAAAGATTTTCCAGTTGGTTGTTACCTCATGTTTTGTTAAGTTATGCAAACTAAGATGGTACATTTAGTGTGTTTGATAGGTAATAAGGGACATTTTAATATTTGTTAACTATATTTCCTCTAAGTTGCCTTCATATTCTGGGCCTATAGGGATAGTGAGACCCAGAGCTTGATTTCTGGGTCCATTTGATTTTTGTTATCTGAGGTCTAACTCTTGTTCCTAAATCGTCTTTATTATAATCAATATTCTACTTTCTCCTATTGATGTCCCCACCCCTTCTGGTATCTTGGTTTTTTCTTTCAGGGGATTGTATAGGGTAGGGGTAACTTTGTTCTTTTATATTCTTAAACTTTAATTTGTCTTGTTGACTCATGGACCAGTTTAATGTTAATGATTTGATTTTTTTTTTTTGCTTTGAGTGATTTTTATTATAGTATGTATGACTTTTTAGAAGGCTCTCAGTTCTGCAAACTTTAACATGAATGGGTGTAGATGTTTTGATTCACCAAAAATCTTAGTTGTCCCCTTGCCCCACCCAGCTCAAGAACTTTTATATCTTCTAAGAGCATCTGCAATGATTCTACTAATGGCAGAATTTTATTTCATTCAGATTCTTCTGTGGAAGAATTGATAAGTAACCCAGATTAAAAACAAAACCTGGATCAAACTAGACATATGTGGGGGTCAGTCTGTGACTGCTGCATTAGACCAGAGTAAGATCAGAACAGAGAGGGTGAATGGAGTGTATGACCTACCAACTGGTACTGTAGTCATTTAATGTAGGTTATACAAGAAAGGTACAGATAGAATCTTCTGAAAATCTGTAGACTGAATGCACTGCTAGAACCTTAGTCATCCCCCTTCCCACCTACCTACCTTGCATGTTACAAAGGATTATTTGGTGGTTTACTGCTTACGATGTTAAGCTAGTTGAATCATCTACCAAAAGAAACAGTTACCTCAAAACAGCATCATTCCCCAAATTACAGTTTAATACTTTATCAAGCACCTACCAAAATATAAAGTGTGGGCTGTAGGTTCTCACTGCCTGGGCTTGAATTCTGACCCTCTTGTACTAACTTGGATTTAAGTTGGCTCTGCCTAGCTTCTTCCTCTGTAAAAGGTGTACTGGTGTCTGCCTCATGAGGGAGTGAGGATGGCTGAGTGTGCTTCAGTCTTGGTGCTGTATCCTCATTGCCCTGCTGAACCAGACACTTCCCTTAACCTTATGCAGCTCAGAGTTTTCTTTGAAAATAATGTATTTTTTTTTTTAGGCCTTTCTAAATTCTGGTATGAAAGAATATTTGGTTTTATAATACAGTCACACTTCAACACGCATGCACTGTCATGTCAAGATAGGATTTAGCCTGAAGGGTCTTAGTTCCTATTGCCTAGAAATGTGCTGGTATTTTAGAATTGAACTTAAGTTAAAAATTTTTAATCTGCTTTTTAAAATTAGATCCAAGAATGTTGAACACATTCTTTAGCTCATTGGTAAGAATAAACTATACCTAATATGTTCCAAAAAAGTGAATTTTCATAGCAGATAAAGCTTTTCCTAGATTAAAAAAAAAACAACTTGATACAGCTGTTTTAAAACACTTCCATGGCCATTCACTGTACTTCCCTATTGTGTCTTTTCAGGTCCTTTTAATATTTCCTTCCTGTTTCGGTGCTTGAAAGTTTTTTTGTTTGTTTTGTTTTTGTTTTTTATTTTTTTTTTTTGTTTTGTTTTTGTTTTTTGTTTTTTTTTTTTTTAGTTTTAACTAAGACATAATTTTCATGGCAGTATCCATTAAAATAGTTAGTAAACAAAAAAGACATAGCATTGGATATAAATCATCAAATTGGATGACTACTTCTACAGTCTTCATTTTTTAAGCTGCTGGGTAAAATTTCATGGAGATGGGCCCTTAAATACAACTCATTTTTGCCAAAATAATGTGAGTTTGATCATGTTACATTAAAGAACAAACATTCATGATGTTTGCATCTAATAGTCCCATACAAAATAAACTTTGGATTTGAAAGGAGAATTGGCAAAATTAACATTCTTTGTGGTTTAGTGTCAAGTCCCTTAATTATAGGAAGGTTTTCCTCATTTTAGTGGTTGTTAAAGGAAATTACGAAATAAGTCCTCTGCCCTCAGCAGTTGATTACCTCACAACCTGCTTGACTTTGGTAAGGTTTAAATGTGGACCGGTCACCTAGTACAGGGGCCACAGTGGTAGACATCAGTAGTCACTGTGCTCAGATGACAGGAATCAGACTTCTGCATTTCCAGCAGCCACTACAACTCAGATGGCACTGGAGATGGACGTGACTTTGCATCCCCACACTTCTGATGAAGAGGATCTGTGCTGTGACCAGAATGCAAATCTTGACTGATGTCAAGGGAAGAAAAGCAAAGAAGGAAATCTGTTTCACTCAGCACATATACTTTTTTTTTTTAATCTCCCTCCCCTTATTTTAAAAAATTCAGGTATGTTTAGTATCCTTTAAATACCTCTCATGTAGTCAGGGGATCTAAACTATGGTCACAGATTTATAAACTGATGTTAAACAGGATCACTCACTTTGATGGCATCTTCCACTGTATCTGCACAGAGGAAATCAGAAGTACTAAAGATCTGTGTCTCTGACATGGTTTGCAGTAAGGTTCAAACAGAAGGGGCTGAGCCAAGTCAAAAACGTGTCCCCCCCCCCGGACTAGTACAGAATTTCTTGATTACCAAGAAAGCGTTATATAGTTGTGATACTTGAAGAGCCTTAAAAGCCCATACACAAAAGCATGGAGAGCACCGTTTAGATACACAGATTCCAGGCCCTCACCTCTAGGCCTGCTGAACTGGAATTTGACTTCAGCAGCAGGTCTCAAAAACCCCAGCTGACTGCAATATATATAGGGGGTCTTTGGGAAACACTTCTTATACAGTCTAGAAGAGGATAATCAGCATCGTTAGTCACTAGGGAAATGCGAAGCAGAACAACAAGATGCTTCTTCACACCTTCAGGATGGCCATTATCAAGAATGAAAAGTGCTGGCATGGACTTGGGGAAACTGGAAACTGTGTATTGTTAGTGGGAAGCCAGGGTGGTTCTGCAGGTGTATTTCCAAAAGGATGAAAAACGGACTTGAATAGCTGTAGCCTAGTGGTAGAAACAACAGATGAATGAGAGTGTGGCATGTGCAAACAGTGGAATATTATTCAGTCTTGAAGAAATTCTGATACATGCTGCAACAGGGATAAACCTCCACATGCTAAGTGAAATGTGCCAGATGTAAAAGGACAGCTACACAATGATTCCACTTACATAAGGTACTTAGAATAGGCAGATGTATAGAGACAAAATAGTGTAACGGGTCTAGGGGATGGAGGAATGGGGAGTCACTGATGAGTGGACACAGTTTCAGTAAGATGACGACAAAGTTTTGGTTATGGCTAGTGGTAATAGTTGTACAACACTGAGTGTAATTAACATCCCTGAGTTGCAAACTTGCAAGTTAAAATGGTAAATTATCTTGCACGGTATAAAAAACAAGTGAGTAAAAGCTTAGACTTAAAAAACC